ATTTAAAATATCTAATAATAGAACGATGTAAAAGGAAGAAGGACAACGAGTGGGCCTGCTAGCTTAAGATAAAATGTATTACTTCGATTGATTTAAATGTAAACCAAGTTTAAACCAATCTGCATCACGTAATTTATGTCAACTACGCAAAGTATGGTCCAAGACCAAATATAGGGGCAAAACCAAATGCCTTAAACGCTGATGACCATAAAACGAATGCACTCAAATTGTTTTTAAAAATTCACGAAATTTAAGTTTCTCTTATCCGAAATACACTTTTCTATGATTGTGGAATTTGATCGAAGCAGGACTCGAACCCTGGCCTTCCGACTAATAAGGAATCGCTTAAAGCTTACTGCTTTCTTCACTCCTTTTGCAACGAACACTCATACCAGGTCAGTCCACTTCGGTCTCTCTTAAAACAAGGTCGTTGGCTTTTACTGTTCGCAATGCTTCATAATAACAGGAAAATAAAAATAGTGACTTCTTCATAACTCTGGGAGAAACATTCGTAGCTGAAGGTGATTGCAATGCGAAGAATGCCCATTCAACCCAAAACTCTACTGTTATATAATACGATCTTAAGTACTAAAACTAGATACGATTATTGACTTCTCAGTCACCAAAACCTTGATAGGAATTTAGTATTTGCCGAAAGCACTGACTTATCTCCAGACTTAAATAGAACGAACAACCAATTGGCGGTGAGTATGCTTTTCGACTTACACACTACATTCAGAACTGTCTGGCTAAAATGTAACATGTATATGTATGTATATTTAAATAAGTGCATAAGCAGTATAGATCGATCACGAAATAAAGAGAGAAACTGATATTAGAGGTAGAGTGGTGATTAGCTTTTAAGCAGAAGAAAATATGTCAGCTGGAAATTGTAAAATAATAAATAAAATAGCATAGCATCCGGTGTTGATTCAGATGAGTAAATGTCGAATATTTTGGAAGCAGAAAAGGTCACTTGCAAAATGGAAATAACGGACTTTGTATGCAGGTGATCTGGTTCTGGACATAACAGCATTATTTTTAATAATAGTTGTCTGGACCATCGGTTTGAACAAAACGAATTTAGGGACTGATTTTCATTGGGTGTAGAGTGTTGCACAATATTGCCATCCAGAATGACTAATTTCAATAAAGTCCATGATGGCAGTGACCAACAGAAACATCCGATGATGCCAACGAAAGCATAGCTAAGGTGCAAGAAAGCCATATTTATTAAAAACATTTTATACGAGTATATGCAATTTAAAACCATGAAAGTTTTTTTTTTCCAAATAAAAAATAAAATAGAAAACGGAAGATCTTATAAATTACTCAACAATATCGTGTGAAAAAAATGTAAGGAAATACCAGCTGTCATGCAGTTTTGATGTATTCACAACGCAAATTCACAATGATCAAACTAACCAGAAGCTAAGTGGGCAGAACTTGGTGAAAACAAAAGTGTCACATTAGCCTATCTGGCGGTTAGCTATCCTCCGACTACAGGTTAAGTTTTTCGTACATTCCGAAGTCGGGCATAAGCTGTAACCGTATAGACCAACGGTCTGTTGATTGCCTTTTCAAACATGGCACGATTGAGCAAGTAATTGGTATTATTAATGAAACAAGGAAAACTTTCGAATTCAAAGGGTATTGCTCGGTCGTTTTTTTTTTTTAATGTGGCTCAAACATTTCACAACATAAAAAATTAAACAACCATTGCCTAACGCGTTCCAGAACATTTAGCTGTCAATAACAGAAAAAAGGTCTTATATTGAAGATAAGTTCTTAAGAGCCCCTCCCAAATGTGTTTTCTGGGAGTCTAAAAATCTGAATTCTTTATAGTTCATATTAAATATATTTCAAGTGTTTTTTATACAATTAATAAATAAATATAAATATACAATAACAATCCTTATGGAAAATATTACTAGAATAGTGAAATTAATTAATATAATAAGTAAGCAGTTAAATAAGCATTCCTACATTAAAAAAAATGTTCTTTGAATATAACAACTACAAATATATGTCTTATAAGAACAAATACTTATTATCTATCTGAAAAACGAAATTACCAAATAATTTAAAAAATCTAAATATATTACTAGGAAACAATATGGTTCAGAAAGTAATCAATAACTTTTTATACCTATTTTTCCGTTCAAATTATGTCTTTAGCTCGTATTCCCCTTTTCAAGGAAATCTTCGGAAAGATTGATATGACCTTATCAATTGAATAATTGAAAAAAGAATTATCCATGCTTAATCAGTATTTTGTTTTTGTGGCATTCGTAAGTACATTCTTTTTTTTTTTAAAGAAAAGACATGATAATCATTATTTACAGTTCTTCGTATTTGCTTCAAATAGACACGCCCAAAAAAGTTCAGCTATCCACACCCTTATCAAGCTTTTCTACCGGAAAACAAGTAAAAATGAGTTGGTATATAGTGAAATGATAGATATCCGAGTTTGTGGTGGGGTAATAAATAATATCCTCCTAGTTTAGTGATTCCTAGTAATCGGGCAGTACTAACTACAACAGAATATACGAAAACTGTTAACAGTTTATATCAAAATGCGATCGGAGCAGGAATCCGTTTATGACGGTATAGCAAGTTTCCTTTCTTATAATTTTGGCTTTGATTTACTAGGCGCTTGGAGCAGTGAAAGAGAGAGTTTTAAATAAAAAACTATTAGTTATTATGCGTAAAAATGGCTTCATAGCGGAGATGCTCTCCTAACGAAACGATGTCGTTTCGTTATTATGAAAAATAATCTTAACGAAGTAATTTGTTTTCGTTACGGCGCTATGTTATCGTAGCGAAAAGAAATTAACAGCATTAAGGCTGAAATTTGAAAATGGCTGCTTGGTCTAATAAATATTAACAGTACACATTTAACATTATCTGTTAACGATTCAATATTAACGACAGCTTTTCGTTACGGGTAAGATCAGAATAAAATTTAATTTGATGGCTGCTATAACGATAACATTTTCAAATGTTTCAACCGAAATGATTACAATTCCTTTATTAAATTTACTGTTATGATGCAGCCTTGGTTGATAGTGTTTAGTTGTAGTAACAATTAATAGCTTATATTCAATAGAATATACCACAATGATCTCAATTTTTCATACATTATTTCAAGTGGTAGTAGGTATTAAAAATAGGGCTCACTATGAAAGGATTCTTTGCCTGCGGCAGGGAGCAAAGCTACAAAAAAAAAATATATGTATAAATTAGAGTGATAGCTTCATAGATGCCGCCTAACTTTCTCATCTTCTTGTTTACTGGCCTAGACAACGCTTACACAATTATAGCCGAGTTAAGAGAATTACGTAATACATTCCATCTTTTCGCAATTTGGCGCCAATCGAAAATAACAAGTATAGCCAGGTCCTTCTCTACCTGGTCTTTCCAACGAGTGAAAGCCTTCCTCTTCCTCTGCTTCCACCAGCGGATACTGCATCGAGAATTTTCAAAGCTAGAGTATTCTAATCCAACTGGATCATATGACCTAGCCAACGCAACTACTATCAATATCGCTTATCTTGTCATCGGCTGCGGTATTCTTAGGTATAACCTTTCTCTTGAAAACTCGATGTTGTCATCGTCCGTGCCTTCGCTAGTTCTTTATGAGAGGGCTTTACTTTTCGATTGTCAACTCCGTCCAAAGTAGCACCTGTTGGCTACTGTGATTCTGCGCTGGATTTCCAGGCTGACATTGTTGTATGTTATAGTTACTGCTGGTTCCAAGACAGACGTAGAGGCCAAGTCGCTAATGTGATGATTGTTTGTTTGATGACAGGAGATATTTCGTCTTTCCTTCGTTAAATACCAGACCCATATATTTTCCTTCCTTATACTGTCTGGAGAAAGCAGAACTGACACTCCTACAATTTTCTCCAGTAATAAATGAAAGCAGTCCCACGAAAGGGATCACCCTGTCTGAAACCTAGTTTAGTCGCTTTACGTCAGCTTACATAGCCGTATAAGTTTTGCTATTTAAATTTGGTTCTGTAGCTGAACTGTGTAATTCAGTTTTATTGTTATTTATTGTTTTAATAACTACTATAAATGTACATATGTACATGTACAAACAATACATATATATTGTTTGATTGTTTGTTGTCTAGGATCTTCGTAACTACGCCACATATTATGGACTAGTAATTGTAAAAATCGTATTTATGGTTCGATCGACTTAAATTGGTTGAGGTGGGCCAGGGACTGACTTATTCGAAAAATCATTTTTATGGTTCAATTTGAACAAAATACTCAAATCTACAACATGCCGGGGGCCGGGCATGCTCATTCAAAGAAATGTTCGGTCATTTGAGAAATACGATTTCTTTCACAAAAGTGACTAAAATGAAGTTGAAAATTGAAATAGATGTAGTAAAGCTATACATATATACATACAGATATAGCTGTACACGTATGCATAAGCATACACTCATCTGAGATAATTTCATAAAATTTTGTATGTATGTTGTTATATGTGCATAGCCGTTTTTAAAATGATGGGGGCTTATGATATCATAAATTAAAATTTTTAATTTCGTTCTGTTAGATGTTAATCGCCATTATTGAGTATATATATATGAAAATTTGCACCTCATTGCAATTTCTTAATTGCGCTACTTGTTGCTCATTAGCTTAAATATGTTTATAATATAATCGATAAAAACAAAAATAAACGAAGATTTGTCTTCCGAGCGATGCTGTGTGTGTACCCACAAATAAAAACTCTTCGTCACGCCCCCTACCATCAGTAAAATTCAAGAGTGACAGAGAGCATTTGCACACCAAGCCAGGAGAAAAACACACAAGCAATACCAAAATGTAAATGTGTTTGTTCTTGTTATGTCGGTGAAGAGTCTGCCATCCTGCTCTATCGCTTGGCTGTTTTGATGATCTCTGATTTTCATTGAATATCACTGCGTTGGCTGATCGCATGATCTGCTAGATTAGATGAACAGCGTCATTCCGTGAAGGATGTGCAATGCGCATTTCCGTTTACTTACCGGCTTCTAATTCCGAGTATAGTTTTAAAATTTCAATAACTCGGAAAATCCTAATACGAAGAATTTGCACAAAAGCTTTTTGATAGATCAATACAATCACCAAATCGATGCAAAATGGATACGCGCTCAAAAGTACGGTGTTTTCAAAATAATTTTTCAATCGATAATATTTTATCGAAGCCAAATACTATCAAGTGTAATGAATATTTGGAAACATTAAGTGATTCGAATCCGAATTCATCGAAAATTGTGAAGCAGCCTTTGAGTGTGAAAAACCTACAAATTGAATGTGACAACAATCTTGAAGTTAAATCAAATATAGATTTATCGCCATCAAGTCCAACTTCTAGTTATGCGGGAGACGTACTTGAGGATTCGAAAAGTGATGCTGCTTCCGAAGATGGCAACAGTAAGTGCTGTAAATCATGAATTTGTAGATAAAACGGTCTCGAACAACAACACGCAAGCAATTTCTACTTCCCCATATGAATTGTGCCGTGTACATATGTACATATGTATATGGTTGAATTCAGAAGTACCTATGCCATAAAATTCAAAAAATCAGGAGTAACAACAATAAAAATACTTTATAAGAAGACGAATATTATTTAGCGTTTGAAAAATGGTTAAAACTGCTGTCATAAACCGTTAACCTAACATTGAATATTTACTTGCCGGTTTACTTCTACTTCCACTTCCCACATAAGCATAAGCTGCCAGTGAAGAAAAAACTTAGTGAGGATTGCGATGGATCCATAGCAAATAAAATTGAATTGATTTAAATTATTATTCTAACAAGCTATCGAGAGTTGTGCTCGCCTTAGGCTTGAATACAGACCATACCCCGGATTCGAAAAAATCGTGTATCTTAATTGCATTTAATTTCGTACCGACGGTTGCTTTGAACAGATTCTTCTAATGCCCAATGTTTTGATATTAGGAAAAACAATTAAATTTACTGTTTCCACTAGTACTCATAAATTCGGCGCGGAAAGCACTGTGACTCCTTTCCGCGTTCCTGTTGTAAAGCGAAATTAAATACTTTTCTTATTTTCCTTCGATCCGGGGAAAAAAGCTAAAATGATGGAGAAGGATATGAGAAAACTATTTATTTTCTTGTAATTTTGACAAATTTGGAAAAAGCTTACAAATTTTCAAAAATTTTGCGAAAATCATAAATAACGAATAATTTTAATCGTCTGGAAATGGTTGCTTGATCAACTCCTAATACTTTTGCAAGATCTTCTTGCGTCTGGCTTGCATCTGCGTCGATCAATGTCTCCAATTCTTCGTCTTGAAATTTTTTGGCTGTCCGTCGTCTAAGTCGAAATTGCCTTTTTTTAATCCGAGCAAACCACTTTTGGCACGTTCGTTCGGCTAAAGCATGGCCACCATAAACGTGCAGTAAAATACGATGGCTTTCGGTAGAACTTTTCTTCATGTTAAAGTAATGAAGAAGAACTCCCCGTAAAAACACTTTATCTGGTACAAATTTGGACATTTTCAAATGAATGAAACAAATTGTTGTTCACGCTAAAACCAATGGCATTAACTGAAAACGACGCGAAATGACTTTTTACTTTTTAAATGAATATAGCCACCAATGTGTACTTGCAAATATAATAGAATTAATTAAAAAAATATTGATGGATATTCAAAATTATCAGGGGCACACTGATGAAGGTGCTCACTACGCAGAAATCTATATATCTACATACGAGGTGTGATCAGAAAATAACCGAGGAAAAAGTCTGCGGAGGCCGCGTCCGGTGAATGCGGTGGTTGAGGCATGATAACGGTATTGTTTGTGGCTGGTGCGTTATCACGGAGCAAATGATGATTTTTTAAAAAACTCTGTGCGTTTCTGGCGAATTGCTTCGCGCAAACGGCGCATAACTTCTAGTGAGTATTTCGTATTGACCGTAGATAACAGTAAGCAAATCCTTCACTTAAACCGGTTATACTACACTTGAACTTGTGTTCTGCTCATAGTAGACTCTCCAAACGCCACAGTCAACATTTCAAATGTCCTTGCGCATTTAATTTAATTTTTACACAAAACTTAATTCAGTTTCTTTGATCCCTTTAATAGTAAAAAATCAAAGATCACACCAAAACACGACTAACCTTTCTGTCAATCAAAAACAATCCAAAAAGGCTGATCTTGCCAACATATATAACAGACAGATATGCTGATACACAACAGAAAAAAGAGCGGAGATCGATGGCTAAAAGATCTCTAATCTTTTAAAGGGCAACGGAAGTCCACATACGAGTATTTGATATCAAAAATACAAATCTTGAAATTTTGCAAAACTTTGCACGTTTACTTTTCTCATTTGTAAATTCAATTGGTAACTACAAGAAAAAAAAATAAAATAATAAAAAAGTCGTATAATTCTTGAAAAATAGTTATCTTAAATAAAATTAATAAACAATAAATGTAAAGTTTCCTTTGTGCTCAAACCATAAATAAATACAGTTCCTTCAAATAGGTCAGTCTTTCTGCAGTTGCTGAAAATTTCTTTTAAAAACTATCCCGGGAACCATAGAGAAAATTGCAAAATTTTCAGAATAATATGCCGGGTAACATCGGAGATGGTATATACATATGTAAACATATTTGTTATTTAAAGTCGAAGATGGATAATAAAATAATTGTTCAAATGAAATGACAAGTTGAAGAGAATTGATGACAATACCGAAAAAAAGATCGCAGCTTAAGCATAAATTTACGAGTTCGCATGGCGTTTTTAGTAAGGAATCTTAGCCTTAACCACAAAAACCTACTCCACAATATGGTTGTATGGAATCTTCTTATTGTGCACACCTTGCGCCACAAATGTGACATAGTTCAAATAGTCTTTAGAATTATACCGCAATTATTTATGCGAAAAAAAAATTAACATAAAGTATAGATGTTTATGCATAATCAGAGAATGGATACAAATACATATATGTCAGGCGCGCCCAAAGAGGGTGTTCCAAAAACTCTCATTCCTTAAGATTTTATCACCTTTTATTAGGTTTCCTACGTCAGTGCAGATCAGAAGTAGAGATGTTGAAATAAAAAATAATTTTAATTTTTCTGTCAAAGATATTAACTTTGGTTACAAGGCAAATTTGATCATTTTTAACCTCAGATCCGTAAATTTGCTATGAATCATGTGTACATACATATATATGTGTATATCATAAAAATATGTGCATAAATGCTCCTCATAAAGATCCAACGGCCAAAGATCCCTCCATTTGTTGAAGAAACATCAAAACGAATACCACAACTTGAAAAAGTGCAGAGGTGAGGTAGATGGTACCGCAAGAAAGGAGAGTACACCACTAGTGCCGGCACCGGTGCCCGCCTCTGTTAACAGAGATATACAGAGTTATCGAATAGCGGAGTTTTTCTTCTTATAGCCTTAGTGGGAGAACCACACATTATACCTTGCACTGGATAAAGTTTGCATGCTGACAGTAGCTGAACTTTAAACTTTGACAGGAGTGTGAAAGCCTAAATCTCATAAATTGCACTAGAGTGCCATTGAAGATTTAATTCAAAAATTCATCCGTTAAATGCCTTATTGTAGTAAAAAAAATTGTCACTCCCATGAATTGCGACTCAGGTAAATCCATTCAATTTTCCAGCGGTAATCTTGTTGTATCGAAAATAAAAAAAATATAAACTTTTAACACAAACGTTTTTGCTTTGAGACCTTTTTATTTTCTCTTGTCGTTATATTCTAAGCAAAACTTTATTAAAGAATTGCTTTTAAGCCGTTATTCGTAGGCGTCAGAAGTAAGAAAAGAAATTTCTTGCTGCTTTTTATTATAAATGAATTGAAGAGAACATGATGAGCCTTTATTTCGTGTCATAAATACACTTGGAGGAATCGACATTCCCTGCCGAGGGGAAATTATGACTGTCAACAGTGACGACAGAAAATATTCCGGCGCGTCCTTATTCCCAGGGTGGAAGATTGAATCTGATACAAAATATTTTTTCTTAATCTCCATAAGCATATCAAATGAACCATGCAAGGGATTTAAAAAATATAGATTTTTACGTAATTGGCATGCATTCGAAGGAAAAAAATTTTTTGTAACAAAAAAATCGGCACTTAATTGCTTATTACAAGTGTTTAAATTGAGTTGTGGAAATGCTATTATAAGGATGTGGAAAGAGCTCGATTGAAACTACTGAAAACCGACTACAAAAAACGTGTTTTGAAAAAACCCCGTTTAAAGTTTAAAATGCCGAGCCCACATGCCTTCGAGCAGACAGCAGGTCCAAAACTTTTTTTCGGATGGAATTGAAAACTTAGGATATTATTTTCGAGATGTTATAGAAGCTAATAAAAAAATTATTTTTTTGAAAAATACGCGGTACTGAAAAATATTAAGGCCAAGTAAGTAAGTAAGTTTATGTATAGAAAATATGGTCAAAATCCTGGTTTTCTTAAATTCAGTTAAATTGGCATTTAGGTGTAAAATTAAATATAAAAAGATGTAAACATATATTTATTATATCATGAGGAAAATATTCATTTCGAAATTCGGGTGTAGAATTCTTTTTCAAATTTTAATTTATATTTCGATACGTTAATGCACTTTGGGTTGGAATTTAATGTTTGTTGGATATTTTAAGAACCGCAAATTAACAACATTATCTCTTTATATCAGCTCTTGTAGCACCTTTACATTACATTACATTATATTCTAGGTCAGAAATATTACACTTTCTGTTCTGAGACCAACAGAAATATCATTCATCTTAGTTTGGCTTAGATATCGATAAATTTTCTTCGCAAAAAAAGATGGAAAAAACGGAAAACAAACGGAATCTTTTACCTAAAATTGGCTGAGTGAACTTTGAAGAGATGGCTTAATAGTGGGAGTTAAAATATATGCGGTATTGTAGCCAATTTTTTATTCACGATTTCTTTCGCTGAAAAACGTTCACGTTCCTTGTTTTTTATCGAGGGTTAGGAAATATCTTTTTTTACCTATTGCATATAAAGGGGTATGGCCGCCAAGCGACGATTTGTTTTTTTTCACTTTGAATGCGTACGAATGTCGCATTCGACTTTTGAGAATTGCCTAATATTGTACTACTGTGGGCAAAAAGTGAGGTGAATTTGTTTGTAAAATTAAAAATCTTTATTTATTCTTCTACATCCATTTCGTCACCTTCAAAATAGTCCCCTGCCGATGATGCCAACGTTTTTTCAAGTTATCGAAGCATGTCAAATAGTCACGTTCTGGTATAGCCTTCAGAGAGCGCGTCGATTCACGTTTAATCTCCTCAATCGACTCATAACGATGTCCTCGAAGTGGTCTTTTGAGTTTTGGGGAACGATATTCGTGGAGTTTTCAGCGAAATGGTCACGAAGAATGAGTGGTGTGTGCGACGATGCATTATCGTGCTGCAAAACCAAGAATTATTGGCCCATAATTCTGGTCTTTTCTTGCGAGTCGCTTCACGCAAACGATGCATAACGTTTGAATAATATTCCTCATTTACCGTTTGACCGGGCGGAAGGAATTCATAGTGCACCAAACCACGAAAATGGAAGAAAACGGTCAACATGACCTGGATTTTTGACCGACTTTGACGTGATTTTTTCGGTCTTGCCTCACCCATCTTTGAAGTCTTTGTACCACTTATACACGTTCTTCTGCGACATAGTTGAGTCCCCAAAGGCTTTCTGCTGCATCCTCAATGTCTCAGCAGCCGAAAACTCGTTTCGCAAAGAAAATTTGATCGCACCTCTTCGCTCAATTAAATCAGACATTATAAAAATCGCCGAAGGCACTTTTAGTCGTTTAGTAAACACGGCTACATATCTAAGGAATAGTATAGTATTATTCAAAAATTAAATACATTTTCAATTTATGATTTAAAAATTTTATATTTTATGTACTTAACAACAAAAACAAACTTCAGTATTAAATTGTACCTCACAACGAAAATTATGAAATAACAAAAATAATAATAAATTTCATTTTATTTAAAGGTCAAAACTAAAAGTGTATGTTGATTAATACTTAGTAGGATACCCCTTGCTGTCTATGACTGCATTCATACTCCTTCTTCCTGTAGTCATGAGCAATATTGTTCCATTCAGTTTGTAGGGCTTTTTTTAAGTCGGCTTGATTTCAAATCTCATATTTTCGAATCTCTCGTTCCAAAACTGGCCATAGATTCTCAATCACATTCAAATCTGGAAACATCGCTGAGGTTTGCACTATGTGCGGACAGTTCCAAATAAGCCAACTTTGCCAACGCCTGATTTGTGTTTCGGATCATCATCTTAATAGTACCGAAACTCGTCACGAATGTTTGAATTTGATGCACTTTGCAACAAATTTCTTTTTAAAATGTCCAAATACATAGTCTTATACATAGTACAATTGATGAAATCCAAATTTCCAACTCCAGAGGCCGACTTGCAGCCTCATACCATGACATGCCCACCACCATTTTTTACAGTGCCAAGTAAATTTTGCGGTTGTAGCGCAGCATTTGGTTTCCTCCATACGTAGCTCTTTCCATCTGATCTAAACAGGTTGATTTTGCTTTCGTCCGCAAAAATTACGGTGTCCCAGAAACTTTCGTCTTTATATAAATGCTCCTTTGCAAACTTCAGCCTTGCATTTTGATTTTTACCACTGACAAATGGTTTATTTCGAGCTGAGCGGCCATTGAAATCAGCTTCTCTGAGGATTCTTCGTATGGTTTCTGGGTTACAGCTTTTTCCAAGATATTTTAGCACTTCTTTACCCAAAGCTGGAGCACTTAAGTGGGGGTTTTCGCGTATTTTCCATACAATCCGCCGAGAATCAATTTTGTATTTATATATTTATTATGAGCAGTTTTAGTTTTATTTAACGCATAATGTCAAAATTATCTCATACAACACCAAGTTTGCTCGCGATTATAGCGGTATTTATTTTGCATTCAAAAATCGTCGACAAAGCGCCGCCACTAACGGTAAATCTTTTTGCATCATTTTCGCTGTGAGGTACAATTTAATATTGAAGTTTATTTTTGTTGTAAATGAATTTGCGGTTTTTTGCATTCTGATGTTTTTTCAACGAATAGATGGTTTTTTATGAGGTGCCTTTATTTCATGCCCGAAGTATACTCCGAGGGGTGGATATTCCCTGCAGAGGGGCGACCGCAATTGGAAAATTGAACTTATTATTGATTTAAATTATTTTTTTTTAACTTTTGGATGTTCGTCGCACGACGATTTGAACCCGAGCCTTCCGAATGTCAGTACGCAATGGTAACCACTCGGCTACCGCCGAAATTTGGCGTAGATGTCAATAACGGTGCTACCAACATTTAAAAAAAAAAAGAATTAACCCGAAATATTAAACTCGGGAGGCTCAAATTAAAAATTCACCCTATTTTTTGCCCACAGGAGTAGAAGATATTTTCTTGATTTCAGCGAATATTTTTTTTTTACAAATTTTCATTGTTACAAAAATATATACATATGTACATATGTATATGTAATAATTTTTCGTCGTACCAAAGAAGCATTATGAGATACATATTGTAGCTCATCCCAATCGTTTACTTCAAAAATACACATTAATCTTAAAAAAGCTTGCGAGCAGTTTATCCCTAATTTACAAACTATGTATATACATATGTACATACATTCACATGCATTTACGTATATATGCATATGTATATGTATATTTGTATTAGCTTACCTTAGTCGTTAATGAACAAAATGTCAACACAATGTGATTTTAGCTCTCGGGCAGATATTTAACGAAATTTGTTAAATCATTTGTTGTGGAACAAATGTCAAATATGTTGCGCATAATGGTCAATTAGAATTGTATTTTTGCCAACAATACATACATGCATACAACCTTTATATGTAGAATACTCGAATGAGCCGAACCTTGTATATATGTAAGTATGTATGTATGTACATGCGCGCCAAAATATAGATGAGCCAATGGCTTTCAACAATGTGTAATTAATGCAGAGTAAAACTCATTGAATATTTTTCTTTTCAATGCATATATAGATGTATATATGTACACTACAGTATTACATTAGATTAGTCAATACTTTCGGCATCTTCGTGAAAGGCAACTCTAGAATCATTACGTCAATCCATGCAGCATTAAGACCAAGGAGCGGAGGCTTTACTTAGTGATTCGAACCCGCCCCACAAGATTCAATTTGTTTCTCTTTTAACTGTTTAAATTGATCATTTTCATCGAACTATTCATTCTTAAACATTACATTGCATACTGAGCCCTCGCACTGTGGCTTCTTCTCATATAAGATATGGACAAAACTAGATTAATGGATGCCATTTAATAATTTGAAGTTATTGTCGCTTAAAGCTTTAAACTACATAAAATCCTATTTTTCAATTGATGCGGGTGAATTGATGCTGGGTTTTTATTGGCTTCTATACTGTTATATACGTATGTATATAACTGTATTTTAAATATATACATATATAAATGGCGCTTTGTAAACGCTGAAGCGATTTTCGGCCGGACTCCTCCTCCAATTTGTGATAGGCGTCTTGCTGTTTTCCATAGTTCCGATTTTACCTACTTTCTATCATTGTGTAAAAAGTTTAAAACTTTGTTTGAAATTTTTCTCTAAATGTAAATACATGTATTCAGTGAAAGAGTTGGGCGTTTTATTCTCCATTAGAACATGCACGGTTTCATACATTTGTATCGCTTTATTTTCAGGCAGCAATGACGACCGCAAGAAGCGACCACGGACTGCTTTTTCAGCTTCCCAAATAAAATCCTTGGAAACGGAATTTGAGCGAGGTAAATACCTCTCTGTTGCAAAAAGGACTGCACTGGCAAAGCAATTACATTTGACCGAAACACAGGTGAGTTGTCACCAAAGACATGTTGTTCGTACTTTTCCAAATATTTATTACTAATTCATTTTCATACACTTGCAGATAAAAATCTGGTTTCAAAATCGACGCACCAAATGGAAACGGAAATATACTGCTGACGTTGAATCGCTTGCATCACATTACTATGCTCAATTAGGTATCGGCGGCTTAGCTCGCCCAATGGTTGTTGGGGATCGTCTATGGCTTTTCAGTCAAACACCCACGGGACCTACACCGTTTCAGTCCATTATGTTGAATGGCAATGTAGCATCGCAAATGGCTGCCCCAATGCGCCCTTACAATGGCAATTTATCCTCAACCACATCTACTACTACTCCACGTTCCACTTTAATGCCACCATTGCCAGTAATTGAAAGTGCACGAAATGCCATTCTAGCACGAGGTCAACCGCTAAACTTCGCCCTACCCTTCACCTTGGCAGGCCCATCTACCGGAAATACTAATTGCAACGCTACTACACAAATAGTGCCTTCCGCAAAACCCTACAGAACATCAGGTGACTTTGTAGAACGTTTTGTGGAATATAATAGCCTTCCCATGACGGCAGCGCTGATCAATGGCAACACATATTGCCGGAATGACAATCCTTTGGCTAATGCCGTACCAAATGACACTTATTTAGCACTAAAATACGGAACTATGCCCCTAGAAGGAGACACATCCACCTCAAACGGTTTGGCAGAGCTCGAACGAGTTTTCGGAGACACCAATGCTAACTTCCTGCAGAAGAAAATCAATAGTACCAATATGAGTGAGTGCGACAAAAGGGATTCATCAAGCAATCCGAGAAATCACCTGGTGTCATCCAGATCCGACTCAGATTGCAGCGATATAGATTGTGAACAAATTGATGAGCCCGACGAGGTTTAAGGCTGTTAGGACGAATTCTTCGAGACAATTGCGAGAACTTACAAAGTGGAGATATTCAATTATTTTGGCTGATACCTAAAATACACAACAAATTTTTCATATAAATTCTTATTCATTAATATATAATATATACATACATATATAAATAGGTAACTCTACTTTGTGTGGCACAATAAAATAATTTATTTAATTTATTAAAAATGAAAATCTGTGTTAAAAATGTATTTCTACAAAGAAAATGTTCACATTAGCATTTATTTCCACGTCGAACGGAAATGCAACGTTTTTGTAAATAATGAGCCTTTAGATGTTTCAATCACAAATATATTTCTCTATATACAGCTGCTTTTCATACATATGGATATAGGAGATGAGAAATTTAAATATAAGTTACAAATTCGGATAAATGGTCATCATATAACTATTTCATGTATTTACGAAATACGCATATATATTATATATGTACATATACTAAAAAAATCTGAAGAAAATTTAGAGATTACATACACAAATCACAACATTCTGTTACTTGGTAAATAGGACAAAATTCAAATGCGCACATATTCAACAGAATATCTTAATTATTAATATTGGCAAACTTATTTTATTTACATATCTTAATTAACAATCACACAAAATAGGACAAAACAAGTAAAAAATAATTATCGAGATTTTATATTCAATATCCTCTACCTGAAGTTTGTCCGAAATTAAAATATTGCTACTAATTCAACCATTGGCTTCATAGCCGATATTTTCAATCATACAATAGCTTAATCACAGAATAGTAACGAAAAGTAATTATGCAAACAGAGGATATTAAGCATAAGTTCACGATATATGTATTTCTAAGAGAGCACGTAACTTCAACGCATGAGCAAAAATAGTTTCAGATAGAATTAACAGAACGTATTTTCGCCACTGCTGTTATAGAATGTGTAAATAGGTGTTTATATTAAATTAATATCATATTATTATGTATTATTACCTAGTTTCATTCAAATATACATAAATAAAAACGATAAAGTCTAGGTTTACATTCACACGCAATTAACTTACTTAATTTTTGGTTGTGGCTATTATTTCATAACTATTTAATATATCTTCAGCTGTTGCTTTGTAAATATACTCATTTTAGGAAAGCATTACGACAAACATATTATCTGAAAATAATATATGGTATTTTCTTCCGTATATATGGGTTTCACAGTACAGTAAAAATATTAGCTCTCAAAAGTTGCTGTTTAGTTTAGATTCAAGACATGTATAATATTTTGTTAGCTCCATGACAAATCGTAACCTTTCCAATTAGCATTCGGTGCCAAATATACACGCCGCTTTTGGTAAAAGAACGAAACTATACCGTGATAAGCAGTACGCGGTACGCCACTCTGCATAAGATATTAAAAATTTAATATGCTAAAAAATTTACTAATTTTAAATATACCTTGAAGTCTCCCATGAGTCCTAATATCGATGTTATATGTTTATATTGCTCTCTTGTTGTATATTGAATTCGAACTGGTCCATCAGTTTTAATGAGATTCCTGCGTAATTCGTCATAAGTTACAATTGGATAAGAATAAACGTCATTCAAAAATACACGATCGTAGTTTTCCTATAAAAAAGAAATATATTTGATAAGTTTTCAAAAACTAAAACACGGTCGCTATAATAATTGTTATCTTGGCATGTTGGTGAGCATTTACACTTGGAACAGAATTACCATTTGCAACAAAACAAAAACAGAAATGTGTTCTTCTAAGGGGTAAGAAGTTTACTTACTCTTAATAAGTAGGTGAGGTTCATTTTAGAAAAATGTACAAAATGTTCGCTAAGTTTTATAAACTTCAGATATTTGTCGAAAAATAAACCACTGAAAAGAAAAACATTATTAGCATAATTTTTGGTCTGAATGAGGCGACTCTCCTACTTTTCACACAAGTTTGATACTCACTTCGAAACGCCGATTTTTCCAAATGTTCTGGTTCGCGATATCTCCGGTCTAATGCATGCACGTTCTTTTCTTTGCTCTGGATGTCTTATCCAGTCATCCCAAAATCTACAAAAGATAGCTCAAATTATAAGCTTTAAACTTTTTATTAAGAAACCTACGATTTTGGCCATTTAACAGATAGTTCTTGCCATAGGTTTTTAGAGAGCATCCAACCAAGCCCCGGGAAGAAATCCGTTCGATATAAAAGTTCAGGTTTAGTGTTGTCAATAAACTTATCTTTACCGTTGTCATTCCACGCAGATACGCACCTAAATCGATTAAGCGTAAAATAAAAGTCATTTGATAATTATAATTTCGGAAACGTTAGTATTTACCATAGTGAGGGATCGTCTTTGAGCAAAGCATGGGTACCTAAGAAATACTCATAAAAATCAGGAGCTACGTTCAAATCGTCTTCAACAATAACGACGTATTCGTAGCCTCTTTGGAAAGTTGTGTTCAGCGCCCAACCATAGTGTCGTGCTATCTTATAATATCCCTTGAATTTCTTTTCCCGCGGTGGTGTGAGGATATCAGTTTGATCCGGTTGCTCAATTAGCGTTACCTGAGACTCATAACTTAAAATTGCTTTTTTGGTTTGTTGGTCACCACAATCCTATAAAAAGTTGCATTCATTTGATTATTTATTTAAATTGTATTTAATATGCTAAATCCTACCTGCGATACTATAATAGGAAACTGGTCAGCGTTCGGACGGTATTGAACCAAATTGTCCAAACATTTTCGAATAGATACACGGTTACAAGCAATCACCAAAATTGGTATCACAGGTTCGCCGTTTGGCATGTAGGTAATTGTAGGTTTGAGAATTTTACTATCTTTCCCACTATCTTCTTCAGCATTCTGTTGTCGCTCATCTTCATTTTCATTCCCTTCTCGGTTTTCTTGTACACCCAGATAATGATCTTGGCGAAGAGCAACAATTCCCACAGGACGATCTTTTGAATCTTTATGTGGTTTGGGCTCTTCTATATCATCCGAAGTAATTTTTTTCTTTACAATATCTATAAGTTGTCCCAAAAGTTTACTGTTTTCCATATTTTCAATCCGTGATTCATGTTCCAATTTATTTAGCTTCTGTAAGAGCAAACTATGTTTTTGCGGATACATAGTACTACTCCGTATTAAAAAATAATATGTTATAAAAGTCCAGGTTGTTAGAAAACCAGCTATGATAAGGATTTTTCGTGAACGCATTTTTATGCGAAATAGGTGGGGGTTTCGATTTGAATATGTAGAAAATGCATCAAATTCAATTTTCGTCCTGTTATTTGTCCAATTACTCATTGGCTTCCAAACTTTATAGCAATGCTCATTTTTTATAAACTTTTAAATTAAAAATGTAAAAGCGTATCGTAGAACCAAAATGTTAATAATATACACTGCTATTTTTAAAAATTCTCAAAGAAGACTGAAAAAAGACACAAGATTGTATTATTAGTAAAATTGTTCGAAAAACATATATTCACAAACACAGCAATTAAATGTATATTTTATATTTTTACATAAAGTGTTATTTGATATTTCATTTTTCTGAATTTTAAAAATATTTTCAACCGTGCTCTGATGTACATAAAACATTCCCTCAGAAAAAGAAATAGTATTGGTATTTGTTATTGAGGAAAGTATTTTGTTATTCAAGTCCACCATAGGTCCTTGACCAATAATCTATTAGTGTTATTACAGGCATTTTTTTCATTGTAACCATACGGAACTAATAATGTATTTGAAAAGCATGTTAAAATAATTTGAAAAATTAAAACTGTCACAGAATACATTGTGAAGAATTTCAAATTAAAAAAATAAAGTGGGGTACAATTTTTAATTTTACCAAGGGAGAAATAAGATTTAAATTAAATCATTTTATATGCGTTTATAATGTTTAAATTATAGGATTAAGGCCATCAAGCATCAAATATTCTTTGGGCACGGTAAACCATCATTCGCTCATATAATTCGTATTAGAGATTTGTTTGTTTTTAATGGTTTTTGTATAAACATATAGATTATTTCTTGCACAGTACCGTTATGCCTTTAGTTAAATCATGGTCACTTTATTAGCTTAAATATAGTTTGTTTTCAAAAACTAAAAGCTTACACTTTAATTTTATGTATTTTGCCACATATGCGCGGAAATTTTGTTATCCATTCCTTCAGAATTGAGACCATGAGTAAGTCCAATGTTGTTGGGATTTCATAAAGAACTAGTACTTTAGTTACTTATCACATATTTATAATGGAAAACTTTGATTTAATTATACATTTACAAACAAAATTACAATTTTTGCAATTTATTATTTCCCTTAAACTATCTATGAAGATGTCAGAGCTCTGTATTCATCAACAGCTGTTTTATCTAATTATGTGACAGTTGCGTCAACAAACCATTTTGATTGTTGCCATTTCAACAAAAATACCCTATACCGTTCTCGAAATGACTGAAAAGTATACAAGACTATCCAAATGAACATTAGGTAGATTGTGGTGATGAATGTTAATTGTTGCTAAATTTTTCAAAACCGCGATCAGCGACTAAAAAGCCAAAAACTTACATTACTGCAGCGCTGTTTCAGGTTTAGTTTAGAGGGAAGGTTGCAAATACATGCTGGGAGAATTTCAGCCATTAAAAATTTGCATGTATAAAACCAGCCGGTGGTTGATGGTTGCGTTTTTATCAACGGAATAAAAATTATTTAAAATGAAAATCTCTCTATCTATTGCAGTGGAGTGTCAAAATATAATGAGCAAAAACAAATTAAAATACCAAAATCAATTATGTGATATGAATATTCATATATTATATGTGTTTTAGACTCTCTGAAGAAGATACGAATGGAATCGAAACGGGTAGGAGGCAGGAGAAGAAAATGTTTTTGCTTTTAATTTAACGGTCTTAAAGCTCAAAATATAATATATAACCTAATAAATACATATACATTGGCGCAAAATTCAAACCAGAAAATCACTTCCATTTGAGCATACGCATGATTTTTCCTTTTTCGGGATAGTCTTGGACTCGGTTGAGTAGTTATGCGTAATTCTTATTTTTTTATTTTTTTTTTTTTTATTTTTTTCTGTGTGATCAATAAATAAAGGGTTTTCCAATATTCTTTCGGTAGATGTCGCTTTTGAAGCTTTATTTTTTGACGCTTGCCTGCAAGAAGGTTTCAGATCATTTGAGCCAACAAATGTCAGGAATGCATGACGACATATCCCGTCAGCTCGTAGAACGATTTTCCTACCACTTAAGGCTGCAACTACCCAACGCGCGTAACAGCCGTCCATAGTAACCTATCTTATGAGAGCGCCATGTAAACACAAAGTTATCACCGCTTTCCCATAGCGTTGCTGACGTTTGTGTCGCGGAAACCAACGAAATTTTGATTTTTCCGTAAAACCGGCTCGGCTCATTTTTCGTTGCTATACAAGGTTGCCAGTATAGCCTTTCTTAAAGTAACATTGAATGATCGAAGAAAATGCGTAGTTTTGTTCAAAAGAAATGAAAAATAAATGCGTAACTAATTATTTGTTACCATATAGTATATATATATTTGCCTTGTGTTTATGTTGAAGCAAATAAGCTATGAAATTTGTTGACGAAAATTATGAATTTGTTCAAAAGTGTGCAAACACACAGGCAGCTGGCAACATTTCGCCGCTCTCAGCGGCATCGTAAACTCGTGTATTTATCTCGCCTCGACGTCGCCAGTTATGGACGGCTGGTGAGTAAAATGGGTAGTTGCAGCTTAAGGCCGAAATGACAATTGTGATATTTACATTTGTATACGTGTACGTCATTCTCTCTTCGTTTCCTTGTGCATTTTTGTCAGACAAACAGAACTAGGCTGAGCGACAGCATTGATACCAAAACAAAACAATGCGAACGTAAAATAACAGCAACAGTCCCGTACAAGCCGAACACATATGACCGACAACATTGGTGTCAAAGGAAATCAGCTTTGACAAAAATTTTCTCATATATGTTTATACTTACATATAAACGAACATTATTAAGATTCAGTCTTTTTTTTCAAAATTGTTACGATTTTACTAAATCAACCTCGATTATTTTCCGAATCCTTCGGGTACGATCTCTGGATTGTTAAATAAAACTCGCCAACTTAATTTGCAGTTTCTTTCGTTATAAAGACTTAATCTAATGTCCTTTATTTACTCCGTAATTCACAATTCAATTACAATACACTTTACTATTTACAATCACTAGTATCAACTTTCACAATTTACTCTACTTAAATGTAATCTCCAACGCGTTTACTTTACGACTTTACTGATGTTAACGCCAACGAGTTCACTTTATAACTAACTTGACTTGCAGCTGAGTGTCGCCTTTATATAGCAGTCGGCTGCTCGCAGACGAAAGCGTAGAAGCATCGAATTGTTCGCTATGGAAGGTTCTTGTTTTATCGTACTAGTTATCGGCTTCTCTCTTTCATCTGACATTCGCCTCGCATTTTCGCAACAATATCTAACATCAATCATTTGCATGCTTTGTAAATACAAAAGAATTAACAATACAACAATAAATTCGGTACAAAAATCAGCAAAATATTATAAGCAAAACCGCATCTGCAGAAGTCTTTAATAGGGACGCCGTCGTCATAGTCGCAGCTCCTTTGAAGTATAAAGACATCTAAGTGGAAAAACTAATGTTTCAATTATTTATGTACAGTTATGCCATGCACAGTTTTGAATATTTTTAAATCTGTTGTTGCTGCAAAGTGAGAAGCGTCCATTCCAGTCAGTCTGCTCCATTAGCTGAATTTTCCGTACAATAAGGAATGCCCTTAAATAAACAAATGTAAAAACGAATGAAAAATTTAGTACTTAATTAATCGGCAATATATTATTACCACAACTTGTACAAGATCCTCATAATATATTTTTCACTTCCATCTGCTGCGGAGAAAACGATAGAAAATGGCGTTCTACTCGAAAATAAGAGCAAAGAAAATCGGATAACTGCATTCTTCTTCAAGTTGTATGTATTCAGAATGTGCATTTGAGTTAGTGATGCCCGAAATCGAGTGAGTGTATTGGTGAACCCATCAGCCCGTTCTTGCAGGGTTCACAAGTAAAAACTATGCCAGTAGTTAAAATGGAACGATACACGCTTTAAAAACGCATTGAAATTATTGAAATTCTACCTTTGGGGCCACGTGAAAGATAAGGTCTACGTCAACAGGCCAAAGTCGACTCAAAGATGGTATTCGTGAAGCTATTGAGGGTATACGGCATCTAATTTGGCGATTTGGTGTTAGAAAATTTCATAAAAAAATACGAAATAGCCGTGGCGGCGTTTTGACTAATATGGTTTTCCATTATTGATGGCATATATTCATCTTTACATCCGATCATTTATCTCAACTTTTTTTTGAACATCGAAATAAAACCTTTTATTGGAAAACCCTGTAGAAAGAGCGAAAGGAAAAAAGTTCTCCTTAATTAATTAAGCATCCTTTCAATAAAATGACATCACCGGCCCAGCGGTCGTTATATGAAAGTTCTTCAATGAAATCTAAAGTACGCAACGGTATAGAAAATAAAGTCCTATTGTGAAACTGAACCCCGAATCCAACTGCAGACAATACAGTTAGGAATGTTGAAAAAACAATTAACTCTGGAGAAGGCGCTGTATGATAATTTTGCTCACACAATTTTTGAATCGAAAACAAATTCTAAGTTCTATGTTCTATGTTACGCGGTGTCTACACCAGTAAAGTAAGTAACACTCTTTATACATGCATATATAAAATTAACAGAATGTTTTCAGAATGTGACCGCGCATTCTCTAAGGTTAAATAGAAATAATTAAATACCCGACATTTTATAAAATGATATTTATGTATGTATGTATCCACAACTATTGTTAAAACAAGGCGTTCTGTTGATTTTCTGCTTGTAAAAGCAAACAAAGCTACTTTAGTTGTGGCAGAATTGCGCAAGGAGTAATCGTGTAATATCAATAAATGCATTTTATTTGGCTAAAGATGCCATTCGGCCAAAGGTAGAGAATTATGACTATAGTGAAAAAAGAAATGATGGTAAATCGGAAAAGTCGAAAAAAGTTTTGGACCATTATTTCCCTTTTCAACTTCAAGAAGCCAATTTTTTGATGCTATACCATAGAAAAGGACAACAGCATAAATATGAATTTCACTAAAAAAAAAACATATAGTCAGACAGTCAAAACGGTTGCGACCTTAGCAACTAGGCAATCTACAAAAGATCTGCCAATCCGCAACAATTCCGCCTTTAACTAACCAGAGAATCTATCACAATGCAATTGTATCACAATTCAAACCTTAAACTTGAATTGAACAAGTTTCCAAAATGCAGTAAAGAAATGTAAAACAATTTCTGAAGAAGATGACTGGGCCTCGCTGAAAGTGCTCTATGATTGACGGCTAAGGAACTAATAAAAATCTTCATCTTTAATAAATCCTTTGCGCACACCAGCTCAGTAAATCTCCATGGAAATTCAATTCAACTTATTTTGGGTTGTTTCGGTTTAAGCATTGAATATCAATATATTAAAGCTGCATCTTTTTAACTATTAGTACTTACTTTCTATCAAGCTTTTTTTTTTTGGTTTTTCCTACTACCTTTTTACGAGTATATCATATTGTAGATTGTTGTTTTACTCTCCGGAAGAGCGAATTTCACTGAGATTTCTACGAAAAGGTAGCCAAAGACGAACTCATAAAGGTGAGAGAAAGTTGTATTGTTCTTTGCTTTAGCCTAGCGATTGTCAAACCTTCTATTCCTCTTTCACGATTTCTGATATTTGGAAAAAAAATTGAAAGCTTCACTTTGTTAAACTCACCTTGAACTTGTATAACAGTTGTTTACTTTTACAGTTAGATGTGACCGCATATACATAGTGTATTCTGCCTTTGAGCAAATTCATAAGTATTTTAATCATGCTGACGATTTTTTTATGAATTAAGATAGAGTTCTCCGTGGTCCTGCCGTCAAAACATAAAGATACCAGCAAATGTTATATATTCTTTCTGATAGTCCTCTGCACAACAACAATTTTCCACTGAGACCATTAGGAAGGATGATTTTTAAATAAAATCCAAGCATATATCATTCATATTAAACTAATATTATTAAAATTTTAAGTGATTTTTGATTATTTGACAAAAAGGGATCCAATTGATCACAAATCGTATGCTGTCCACACTTGTTAATTTTTGCCGACCAAAATTTTCCACGCGACAGAAGTAGACATTTCACGGAATAAGATGCCGGAAGCAAAATAATTAATAATAATAATAAGAGCTTGCTGTTGGTCATTATTTTCATTTATTATTAATATTAATATTCAATTAACTTACAAATAACTTTTATCTTAGTAGACTAGTAGTGACTTACTCGTTAGAAGAAGATATTTTGGCAGTAGAGATTGTGGTGTCAATTTAAATTATAGAAAAATTATACCTTCGTAAAATTAATTTTAAATTTTTTAATTGAGAATAAGAATATTTGCGATGGGTAGTAAGTTTAGGCTGCCAAAAACTAATTTCTTATACTTATAATTATTATGTTTTTTTTTTAGATTCGCAGTATTAATAGCTTTGATGGCAGTTGATAAGTTTTTATTGCAAACGTAACTCGATTTTTATCTTCAATACTCCAGTGGCAAAAGTTACATAATATCATTCATCTGCATGTTTCTTCAACTCTCCTTTCTGTATGCTATTCAATTTTCGTTTAAAGTAGAATGCTTCAAAGCCATAGTGTTTTCCATAAACAATAAGTTGTGGTCAGATTGCGTTCGGTTCGGCTGGTTTGGCGGGTTTGGCTAGCGAAAAGTTCATTATATAAATTTACAAACAACGGCATAAACCCCGATCACCACAGATAACCATCCTAACGATCTGTTGGAAACAGCTCTACTAGCGCTGCGTTGGGCCTGACTTAGTTCCTTCTCATCAACCACAAATGCTGTGACAGAGGTTAAAGGTTGTTCGAAGGATTTCAGCGTTTCGCCAAAATGCACGCGGCTATTGCGCGCCAAGCGTTGATTGGCCAATTTAAGCTCCCGTAATTTTTCTTCTAATTGCAGCACTTCGTCTGAAAATTAAAATAAAAAATAGCGTCATATCAAAAATCTATAGGAAAATCTTATCTAATTCTTGTTTCAACATGATTTTATAAGGAATTGATCATTAAGGAGGAAGATTTTGAGTAGCGCTATGTTGTAGTAAATCTTATTCCGATATGATATGTGAGTTTTTGTTTGTTATAGAAAAATGACTGGCCAACTTTTTGGAGAACAAAGATCATTTCTCGTAATTTAATTAGATTTATCTTCAGACTGCCCCACTTAGTTTCTCGCGTTATTACGTTAGGCCGTGTTGGGAAAGAAAGAGGATTGACCGCGGAACCTCGTTGCCTTGTAGTAAGCGTCTCTGTAAGTCGAGAATCCAATGCAACCCAAAAATCATGAGCGAAAGTATAACTTTTGACACACTTTGGTTAGGGCAGGGCCACGGATACTAGAGTCCCAAACGAGCTGCACTCATCAATTGAAAATAAGACAGAAGGGGAAGTGCACCCTGGCAAAAGCTCAAGGGCCGCGTACCATCAAAGTGGCAACAGACTTTTTGGGAGCTTCTGAAAACAAGGGGAGCTTGGAACGGATTGCATATAGAAGATGCTGGCTAAGCAAAACACCTGTTTGTTTGTTTTAGGACGGATTTGTGAGAGGTATTTCACGGCGGATGGAGATGTCATCGTGTTGAGTATCGGCCTTAATTCCTTCTCATTTCATGTATCCGTGAATGGTAGGTGTTCTCTTCTCTTCTTGGCAAGAAGTGATATTTATCACGAAGTTTGATAAGGAAGATTACTCTATGCCGAAATTATATAAACCGATCACACATCGTTTCGGTAATTCCTTTCTACTCAGTCAAGCATCTCGGTGTAATCCTTGATAAGAAAAAAAATAAGAGGGAGAGAACATATTCAAAGCGGGTCCAGTAAAGCGCTCCGAATTCGGAATACCTGCATAATAACATATGAAGCGGCAGTGTGATGGGCAATGTCAAAGAAGAAGACCCGTATTAAACCCTTGGAACACGTGCAATGTGCCCCTTGAACTCATACTTGACATTAGTCCTTCTCTGCCTGGTCTTTCTAACGGATTGGAGGTCTTCCCCTTCCTCTGGTTCCTCCGGGTGCATCCAAAGCTTTTCAAGCTGGAGTATTATTTTACATCTGGACTACATGACCTAGCCAGCGCAGCCACTGTTTCTCGATTCGCTGAACCATGTCAATGTCTCCGTATATCTCACACATCTCGGCGGCGGCATTCGCACTTCCTAACTCATAAAGGACTACGAAAAACCTTTTTTTCTAGTAAACTCCTAATTGACCATCATCAATACCAAAACAACCCCCAATGCAAAATTATTTTAGCCAACAGATGCTACTTCAGACTGTTTACCCATGAAAAGTAACATGCTCTCTCTATAATCAAACGCCAAACTCTACATAAACGTCATGATATGTAATGCATAGGCTTGGTTTTCGAAAGAAAACCCTTCCGAAAAACTTAGCGCATTGGCAATGGCGAATACTCTATAGTCAACGGCTGACTAGGCCATATTGATCTCTAGTTGTCTTTTTGCTTTCGTTACACTAACAAACTGTTTCGAAAGGGGTTTCCGATTGATAGCAAAATTATCTATTGCCATTATTTGTTTATACCTTGGGCATATACATACATACATACAAGGAAAAACTTACTACGATTGACTCCTTCGATATCGTTAATTTTTATGAACATTGCCAGCGATATTTCGTACACCTTGTTTGTATCCATCAGACCCTGAGTTAAAATATCACTTGTATCTCGTCTTCTTCGACCATAACCGATTTGACCGTTAGAACACTGAGTTCCCAGACATTTATCTAGACAGACATTCACGGTAGCACGAAATTGTACATACGATGAGTCGGGGAATTTGAAAGCTTTGAATTTTGCTGATAACCTGTCGCCGTCTATTGTATTGAAGTTTTCAAAAAGATATGGATCCACTGTGCATCTGAAAATTATATTTGAATACATGTGATTTTCGGTACTTTAAATTATTTCAATATTTTGTTACCCTTTAAAAACTATTGTTTCAGAGAGCTGCCGAGTATCGGTCACTTCTAAATAATTCACACCCAAGCCATAAACTGACGCAGAGTCGGGATCCAAATTTATTTCCATAGTCAAAGGTGTTCCGGGCGTTACCGTCAGATCACCGGTTACCTTTTTCCCATTTTGATTAACGCCAATGGATAAACGTGGCTCTGGGGCGCGCTCTGTAAGAGACGTAGTGATTTCCAGGTCCCTGGATAAGAAAAAATACCAAAAAGGAAAGAATAATTACATACTTAAAAACCCATATTGGGACTTTAACGGAATATATACATACATAAATAAATAGAACAATTTGAAGAATTTTTCATAATTTCATTTAAAAGTAACCGATCGATCCAAGCCCATCTAATTCTGTTTTTACATGCATCCGCTGCCAAAAATTTTTCGGGAAGGTAATAATGATGTAAAACGAGAATCAGATGTAAACTGAATACAGGAATGTATTTCTTTAAGCGTTTCTTACAGTGAGGTTTGCATTCTGTATTCCTAAGTGTAGAAAACTTACTCTGGCTCTTGAAACCCGGCAGGTAGGACATCGCGACGCACGACTGCATGATGCTCCCTTTTGGTGGCATTCATCATAAGCACATTGTAAAATGGCTCCGTTGTGATACACTTCACGCTCACCACCTCCTTGGATTCACTTGATTCAATTAATATCTTATGGTAGTATACCTTCTTTCCCTGGAAAATATAATTTATTATGGCACAATTTCTTCCACGACGACACATATTAAAACTGAAATATCGGTTTGAGTGTTTGAGTGTATCAACCAAGCCCAACCTTCTTTTAATTTATTTAATTTAATGCATTATTTTGCTTCTATATTTAAATCTTTAGCGAGTACGCGAGTGACAGCCGCTAACCCAACGTCTATCGAAACGAAAGATTTAACAAGCGAACGAGGTGAAGTTAGCAGAAGAGGCCAATCACATATAGAATTCTTACACATATACAAGTTTAGATTTTCAAAGCATATTTTTGTTTCATCAAACCAATGCACATTTCTTTCAGTTTTCATATGTACATATAAATATATTTCTTACCGTCAATTGATTAACCATTCGTGTGACTCCACATTCGTAAAAGTCAGTCAGAGATAGTCGGAACACAGCCTGCTGATCACTAATTTCAGGCTGACAGCGTTCATTGGGATAATCCTTAAGACCCTCTAAGTATATTTGCGATTTATTACCTGGATTATCCTTCGTTGTTTCAGGAATTTGAATTTCAACTTGCATCTGGTCCTCTGTGCAGTGTATCTTGTGGGCAACTAAAAATTAAAAAAATAGATAAATAAAAAGAAAATATTTATTTATTATTATTTATAATAATATAATAAAGTCTATAAACATTAATGATATTATAATAACAACCCAAGCATAAAAAGCGTATATCCAGCTGCCGAGAAACTTTTGGGTGTCTACACTGCGGTAAGCAAGGATTTGGGAACATCCGCCGTAAACGAGTGCATGATTAATACAAATCGAAACTCTCATTGGAGTTAAGGGTATAGTCGTTTGGATAGCATTTAAGCCAACATAAATTGAGTTGCTGCAGGGAATGTATCTATATAATACTTCAGCCATTCGGAGTTTTACAGCAAATTTGTTGATAACTTTGTTAAAACTTAATAAGCGTCGGCAGACATCGACGAGTAATAAGATGACTGTAAAGCTGGTGCATACAATATTATTTTCAAATACTTCGTTTTTCTTTATAAAAAATAGAAAAATTTCCCAAAGTTTTTCTTGACAATTCTTTTAAATTCATATTTTTCTCAAATAAAGTCCCTTAAGGCCAAGATGTTAGACATATTCGTAGTAATCGAGAAAGTAAAAAAATAAAAATAAAAATCAGCTAGCAAAGTCTCTTTAAAATATTTTTTCTCTCTCACTTCGAATTAAGCGCATAAAAAGTAAGTTTAAAATTTCAATTTTACAATAAAATTATCGCAGTTATAAATACTTGAAAAATAGTAAAAAAAAAAAGAACACTTCAATAAAAATACCAAATTTTATTCTATTAGGCAACTTCTGACTTTATAGGGGTTTCTTAACTTGTCACTTCCATAACTTCTAGGAAACTTACTTTAAAAATATTTCAGGCAGTTTTCTGTCACTACTTCTGAGCCCCACCAGAACAGCAAATTGCGAATTAAGCTCTAACACCCACCAAGTGGTATCAGCACCGACGACATGTAGGACGAGATCCCTTATTCTAACAAAAAAAAAACGTAATTTATTTTCATCTCTCTAAATATATTGGAGAAGCAGCCTGGGATACTAACGCCTGGAAGTTTCCTTTAATGTTGTTGTTGTTGTTGCTGTAACCGCAAAATTATTCCCCAAAGTACCTTTTGGGGAATGTTGCGGGAGTGACAGTCCTTGGCCGGATAAAAATCCGGATCGTTCCGGTATAAAGACCCGACTGTCGCGAGAACTATTGGATTTTAGTCGCCTCTTACGACAGGCATGCCTTACCGCGGGTAAATTCTTGAGCCCCTAACCCGCAGGGGGTGTTTCCTTTAATAATCGGCGCCGATGCAAATTAAACTACTTTATCTGGGACTCTAGTAATACTAGCACACGAGGTGAGTCTCTATAGATTTTTTTTATGCAAAGACTTTGCTACTTGTAACAATGGGAATAATCCCACTTTAGTTACCGCCCCTACGAATAAGGTCCTCGATAACACTTGCATCTTAAACATTTTCTGACCCGATCAGAGACTGGCATGTTTCGGGTGCCCATTCCCTTCAATTGAATTCCATATATCCTTTAATCTCACTTTGCGTAGCTTCACTCGTAAAAAATGCTTTTCACGATGAGTACGATTTCAACACATAGTCCGTTTATCTCAGTGAGATAGACTTTTTGCCACTGTTTTTTGCTTATTTTCTTATTTATCCCGAAAGGAAAAACCCTAATTGTGTAATACATCCAACTAAGTACTAAACTTTACACCATTCTTCTAAGAAGTGGACTTCATCACTTCTGTCTTCTCAATTAAAATCCCAGAGATGAACAAATGGAAAATGCAACAGTTCTGGATCACAGATTAGTAGCAATCTTTGCCGATGCCTCTAACCTAGATAACGAAGTATGTTATTTAATTTATGCTGCACCTCTTGCTATCGAATAACTGCAGCGTCTTTCAAGCGGAACTAACCGCGGTAACGTTTTCTAATATGAAAATCTAAGTTATTGCAATATGTTCTGGCAGCCTGGCCATCATTAAGCCTCTCCAATGCAATAATACTACCTCAAAAGCGGCAAAAAATGCAGAGGAGTGTTATGCAAACTCTCGACTTTATGCAAAACGTCAGTGATTCGGGACCCTGATTATATTGACATAGTGACATCCCAGGTACCTACGGAACTGATCAGAAAGGGAACAATCATAATCACGGTAAACTCTGCACTTGATGTTGGCATACCGCTTTCCTCGGCAAAATATATGATAAGATTAGTTTTCATCAGAAGGGCCAACGGCAGATGGCAATGAAAACATGTGCAATGTGACCAGAGAGGTTTTATCATTGATCGAAGTAAACAGAACTACGAGTCTTTACTCCATCTAAACCATATATCTATAAGCATAAAAATCAGTGTAACAACCGGACGCTCTATTATGGGGACTCGCGGTAGAAAGATGAGTTGCTTCTCAAACGACTCCTGCCGCAGCTGCAGGTACTTAGATGGGGAGGTGGTACATTCCGCTGTCACTGCCTCCGCTCTCAGTCGTGTCCGTTACCTTTTTTCTCGGAAATTTCTTCTTCGATTGCCTTTTAGAGCTTTCTTCGGTAGGCATCAGTAATCTCCTTAATTTCATAAGACACACCAACCAGTTTGTGACTCTGGAAAGGTGAGGGGAGTCTCCTTAATAGGACCAGCATAGATATCACAAAGGGTCAGTAGATCTAAGTGCGCTCGATCAGGGTTTCGGGATCAAACAACCTGTTAAACCAACTAACTACTAATAACAGTATATAAGCCATATGCAGAATTTCGGCCATTTATTCTAAGTCAGCTTCGGTAGATTTTCATGAGGAACATTTTATTTCATAACAGAAATACTCTCGCAGGGCTTGACATTCCCTGCCATGAGGCGACCGCAATTTATTAAAATAAATTAAATTAAATTTCTATAAGTTTTAGAAGTTGGTCGAACCAGTACTCGAATCCTGACTTTCCGAATGACAGTACAAAATTAATGACTATCGCTTAACATTTCAACCAAGATCTGTCTCCTCTTGGCCGAGCTATGTGGTTTCTGGACGCTCCTTCAAGGTAGTAATAAAAAGAGGTATACTTTCGACAAGTGGTTAACAGTGCATCTATAAATATTCTTAACATTTTTTAAAAGTGGTCGCTATACTTTATTATATTCTATCACATACCTACATACATAATTTGTGGCGTTTTTTAGCCGCTTTGTGGCGTGATGTTTCCTAGAGGGAAAGAGGGATATAAAAATATGTACGCTGCATTGCTAGTTAATTTTTCACTGGGGGGTCCGAGACTCTTCTTCCAGCGGCAAAGTTCAATAAATCATCTATTCCATTGGTTTAATTGTGCTACTGTTTAAAAGCATATGCACAAATGTATGTATGTGCCAAAGCCTAGAAGATAGTGTTACGCCTTGTGAAAAGCGTACGGATGAATGTGAATGTGAGTGTGCATTTACTAATACTTAATAAATCAAGAAGTTGCATCATTAATCACCGACTTATAGCTACATGTACGTGCATATGTATATACTCGTATACGACGTACATGTGTGAATCGTATGTAAAAATATTTATGTAAGCAAGTACAAACGATGTGAAATCAACGAGTATTTAGAATTCCAATGCAAACGCAAATCATATCTAAACATTAAAATCGGAAGCAGAATTGCATCATAAGCGGTGTTAGTACATCATAACAGAGCTTTTACTGTTATATCATATTCTCTTGCCTTATTACAGATTTTGTTCATAATCTTATGTATTTCCTCGTTCAAGAGGTAAATGCATTCGTCTTCTGTTGCATGCCTCTAATTATTGTATGCTCTTGCATATGTGTGTGTGTATGTATGCAAGTACACGTAGGTTGGTATGAAGAAGTGCGAGTGTATGGAAACTAATTTCTGAATGGATTTTCATATGAACAACGAAGAAAGACAAGAAACAATAGGTACCCAGCTTATGTAACACATTCGACTGCATACATATCTGAACAAAAGTAGTTTTGGGATCTGCGTATGTTTGATTGTGATATAATAATCTGTGGTAATCAACCGTCCGTCCAAAACCTTTATATTTCTTAGCTGATATCGAGCTTTGGCTCTCAATGTCCTGAACATTCAATGTGAAGCTAATGCGAGGGAATAAAGTAAAATTCAATTGGAATAAGTGTACCGATCCTCATCGAATTCCAAGTAGAGTTTTCTAAGGTATGTGCGTCTTCAAAAGTTTAACTGTACAGAAGGTTTGTTCTGGACGCTGACGCAATAAACAAATTAACGAATGCCCTAATGAACATACAGTCATAGACATAAAGTGTAAATTATCCACATCACTTCTACCTTAACTGCATTAGTTTAATGATAGTAACTTATACACTGTTATATACATATTTTTGTTTAATAGCCAGTTGAGGTCATTTAGTATCTCGAATCTTTAACATTAATTCTCAAGTTCACCTCACTGCTCTCAACATAAATAACAATAAAAACCCAAAAATCAAATGTCGCGAAAAACTGAGGCTTAAATATAATATACATATGTATGTATATATCTTTGCCAAAATTGACGTCAAATGCATTCAAATTCAAATGAAGCGTTAAGGAAATGTGCTTTATTTAAATGGAGTGTTGAAGAACGATTATTAAATTATTTTTTGATCAAAGATTTTCTTTGAATATTTTAAAATTACTTGATTCTAAGGTTACTAGTAGCTCGAGTATAAGATTAACATATTCATGTGTCCTAGGAGATTAGATTCCCGAATAATATGCACTGTTGTAGAACAACATAACAGAATTTTTTAAATATATACATATATACGTATATACAAGAATAATTAGACCTGTAGAGGAAAGCAAGTCGTATGTGTAGACAGAAAAGGAAAGAGGAGATAAAAGAGACTGAGAAGACTGAGAGAAGAGTTGGCCGATAAGGGTAATGCCTGAAAATTCTATGAAAAGAAGTTTCCCAGACCGGTGATCTAGTAATCAATGCCCAGAGTGAAAAGAGAATCGACACACACCACCTCTTCGTTGATTTTA